CACACACACACACACACACATTTAAAGTGAATGCTACTATTTTAAATTCTTTACATTTTTATACTTTGTCTTTTGGCACATAGGGTATTACTTTTTTCTCTCTTTAATTTCACTCTTTAATAAGGTTTATTCTGTCTCTATAATTTGTCAAAATCCTTTTAAATCTTGATTTGTTATTCAGAATCCTTTTCAGTTTCCTCTAATTAGCAGACTTATTAGTGTATATTCTGTTAGCATCCAAGTCCTTGATAATAATCATGAAAAGATCATATCCAGAATACCTAGTCCCTGTGATACTTACAGAAATCATCCTTGCCTTCAGTCCTTTAATCAATATTTTTTTATTATTGCTTCATCAAACACAACTATTTTTTCTTATGTCTGTCCCATGCTTCTCATTTTGGTCTATAAGGATTTGATGAAAACTATTTGGCTAGAGTTCTGTCAAGTTAGACTGTTTAATATTGAGGTTAGTCTGATCTAATTTATTATTTTTAAATGAACTTTTTATTTATTTTAGATTTATAGAAAAATTATGAAGAGTTCCCACAACCATTTTCCTATTAATATCTTATTATGATATATTTGTCACAATAAATTGATATTTGATACTTTATTATTAACAGTCCATACTTCATTCAGATTTCCTTAGTTTTTACCTATTGTCCCTTTTCTGTTCTAGGATCCCATCCAGGATTCCACATTACATTTAGTCATCATGTCTCCTTAGGCTGCTCTTGGCTGTGACAGTTTTTCAGACTTTCCTTGTTTTTGATGACCTTGACAGTTTTGAGGAATACTGGTCAGGTATTTTGTAGAATGTCCCTCAATTGGGATTTGTCTGATGTTGCTCTCATGATTAGAACTGGGCTTGTGGGTTTGGGGGAGGAAGATCACAGAGGTAAAGTGCCATTGTCACTACATTATATCTAGGATGCATACTGTCCATATTACTTTTGACTGTTGATGTTAAACTTGATCACCTGGCGTAGATAGTATGTTTGTCAGGTTTTCCACTATGAAGTTACTATTCCCTCCCCCCCTTTCTATGCTGTCCTCTTTGAAAGGAGGTTACTATATGCAGCCCACACTTAAAAGGCAGAGAATTAAGTTCCATTGCCTTGAGGGAGTGGGGGGCAGTATCTACAGCGATTATTTGGAATTCTACACAGGAGATTTGTCTTTTTGTCTGCATTTATTTACTTAGT